ATATATATATATATATATATATATACACATATATACACATATATATATATACATATATATATATACATATACGTGGTTTCATCCGAACCAGTGGTTCCCCATACAGTCCAGGTTCCAGGAGACTCCACAGATCCAGCACCACTCGGCTCTGCACAGAGGACATTGCATGTGCATACAGCCACCTGTAGGGGGCGACAATCAGTGAGAGCTGATACTACAGTACAGTACTGAGGGGTACTTCTATACAGTACTGATAGTACTACTGTACACTACTTCCATACAGTTATTAAAGGATGTAACAATACTACAATACAGTACTTCTATGCAGTATTTAAAGGATGAGACAATACTACAATACAATACTTCTATACAGTACTGACAGTGTGAGACAATACTACAACACAGTACTGATAGTATGAGACAATACTACAACACAGTACTGATAGTGTGAGACAATACTCCAACACAGTACTGATAGTGTGAGACAATACTACAACACAGTACTGACAGTGTGAGACAATACTACAACACAGTACTGATAGTATGAGATGTTACCGTCTCTCTCCACAGCAACACGACACTGAGGACAACGTTTAGTCGACTCCTGAAGGAGGAGCAGGGAGGCTTGATCCCACCTCCCTCTGAGAGACGCCTCCTCCTCCACCAGGAAACCCTGAGGAGGAGAGAAGAGGAGAGGAGGGGAAGAGAAGAGGAGAACTGTCTTTATTGGTTCATGTATTTATAGGTTTGCTTTGAGCTGATGGTTTTTTTCCTTCGTAGATATTGAAAGTATATTTAGTCTCATCTGATTGGTCAGCTCACCTGAGAGGCTTCAGCTGTGGGCGGGGCCTGTTCAGTGAGACACGCGCCCTCATGGAACCCCTCCCTGCAGTCTCTGCAGAAGACGAAGCCACAGCCGAGCTGTCCGTCACAAAGCACCTTCCTGCTGCCGTCAGGTGGGATAAGCCCCGCTCCACAGCCGGGTGACGGACACATCAGTCCTCCAATCATCAGCAGGCACTCCTCCGCCCCGTACTGCTGGTACCGCCCATACTGAGAGACACGGTGACATCATGTGTTTAGACTCAAAGGTAACTAATGATGTCATCATTAAGGGAATAACTCTAATGCTCATGAGGAAGAGAGGAGGAGACGAGCAGCAAACACTCACCTGATCGTCTCCTAGAATCCTGAAGTGATGCAACTCTTTAATGAGAGAGTCGGTGCAGTCGGCTGGACACAAAATATCACTTTATTATTTATTATGGAATCATATTCACATACATTGATTCATTGTATCAATGACACATTAAATGATGTCACACCAGCACACGGCAGCGAGTAGCCAATCACAGGGTGAGAAACAAACTGTCTCTCATTGAGACGAGTCTGACAGTAGACATGGAAACAGTCCAGACAGATCACATGACGCTCTGAACACTGGAAGACCAGGACCACGTCCCTGAGAGACAGACAGGCAGGGAGGGAGAGAGACACAGGGAGAGAGACATGGTGTGAGAGAGAGAAAGACAGACAGGGAGAGAGACAGGGTGTGAGAGAGAGAGAGAGACACAGACAGACAGACAGAGATAGAGAGACAGACAGAGAGAGAGACAGACAGACAGAGAGAGAGAGGGTTATTTTCTCTCTTTCACATTATGTGTGTTACGGTGTGTTACGGTGTGTTACGTGATGTCACAGCAGGCGATACAGGGGACGTCTCTTCTGTTGGTCAAAATGAGGTCAAGGGCCACAGAGACTTCGTCCTCTGAGGTCGGATGGGAGGCACACTTCATGTAGAACTCCTACACACACACGCACACACACACACACGCACACACACACACACACACACACACACACACACACACACACACACAC